TTTTTTATTTTCTATATGTAAATTTAAACTGTTTATGCATTACAAACATTATTTTAATATCATATAAAGTGTAGTACAGGAAGGGTCATTCATACTGTAAGTACTCATGGGTGATTTCACACGGCTCCAATTTCTTATCGCAAGATGTTATGTTTTTCTAACGTGGACTTTTCTAATGACACAACGTAACCCTGCGTTAGACAGGGATCAATTGTGTATATTATCTCTACATTGCGATATTTCCAAATAAATACCTTAGCCATTCATTCCTTGTATTTCAGCTGGAAAAAGTATTTCTTATGTATTTTTTCAAATATTGGTACACACTGACAAAAGCATAACGATTTTAAATATAGATTTATTCTTCTAAACTTTTTGATGTGTAACACTGTATTCCTCAAGGGTGACACCCTGGTGAGCATCGCTGCCCGGCCTGGGGTCCTGCGCTTGATTTTATGGGCTGCTGTCTGTGTGGAGTTTGCATGTTCTCCCTGGGTTTGCATGGGTTTCCTCTGGGTGCTTTCCTCCCATAGGCCAAACATACTGGTGAGGTAATTGGTGTATGGGAAAACTGGCCCTGGTGTGTGTGTGTCTGTGTTCCCTGTGGTGGGCTGGCTTCCTGTCGAGAGTTGTACCCTTGCCTTGTGCCTGTTGCTTGCTGGGAGAGGAGGTTCTGGCTATGAGCCTGAACTAGAAGAAGCAGTTAGGATCTGGATGGATGTATTCTTCAACAAGCACCTATGATATTTTGTTAACTATGTTAATTGATCCCAGGATCTTATCCAGCCGTTTCTCAAAACAAGTCAGGGTATCGTCTTCCGCAGATGACTGAGTAGCTTGTCCCACACTCCCACAACCCTTTGTGTAGAGAAGTGCCTCCTGTTCTCACTTCTAAATGTACTTCCACTGAAGTTCCATCTGCTACACGCTACCTGCACCCAGTGTTAAGTGTCTATATCTTGGTCTGAATTAATTTATTCACAATTACAGATACAGCTGCAGATACTTTATTTTTCTCAGTGACGCACTGCAGCAGGAATTTGCCTTGATGTTGCACACATGAACCCGTTTATGTTCAAGCTTAACATTTTACTGCGCAATCTGAAAACGCTGACAGGGTGAGATGCGAATCACAAAACAAATAAAAACCTTTCTGAACTGACCAGTTTTCACCACGAGCTGAAGATGAGGCACGTCAATCCGTGACACAGAGACTGAAGAGATTTCTCTCAGCTGTATTTGTCACTGTGTGATTATTATCAAACCAGGTTACATCACAGGCAGGCTCTCACCACCAGATATAAT